AGTGTGGTCGTGCAACAGCTCCCCCAGCACCTGGATGAAACGACGTATCTGGATCCGTTCCAGTCGGGCTTCAGGCCCAGGTACAGCACGGAAACGGCATTGGTCGCGTTGGTTGATGATCTCTGGAGGGCTCGGGACAAGGGGTGCTCCTCTGTCCTGGTCCTGTTAGATCTCTCAGCGGCTTTTGATACCATCGACCATGGTATCATGCTGCACCGGTTGGAAGAGTTGGGGGTGGGAGGCACTGTGTTGCAGTGGTTCTCCTCCTTTCTCTCTGACCGGTCGCAGTCTGTGTTGACAGGGGGACAGAGGTCGACCCCGAGGCCCCTCATATGTGGGGTGCCGCAAGGGTCGGTCCTCCCGCCTCCTGTTCAACATTTATGTGAAGCCGCTGGGCGAGATCATCCATGGTTTTGGGGTGGAGTACCATCAGTACGCTGACGACACCCAGCTGTACATCTCCACCCCGGATCACCCCAACGATGCCCTTGAAGTGATGTCCCGGTGCCTGGAGGCCGTACGGATCTGGATGGGGAGGAACAGGCTCAGGCTCAACCCATCCAAGACTGAGTGGCTGTGGTTTCCCACGTCCCGATATAGTCAGTTGACGCCATCACTGACTATTGGGGGCGAATCATTGGCCCCCACGGAGAGGGTTCACAACTTGGGCGTCCTCCTGGATTCACGGCTGTCTTTAGAAGAGCACTTGATGGCCGTGACCGGGAGGATTTTTCATCAGGTTCGCCTGATTCGCCAGTTGCGTCTCTTTCTGGATCGGGACTCGTTACGCACGGTCACTCATGCCCTTGTCACCTCCCGCCTGGACTATTGCAATGCTCTCTACATGGGGCTCCCCTTGAGCACCCGGAGGCTCCAACTGGCGTAGAGTGCGGCCGCGCGGGTGGTAATGGGAGCCACATGGCGTTCCCATGTAACACCCCTCCTGCGCGAGCTGCACTGGCTCCCGGTGGTCTTCCGGGTGCGCTTCAAGGTTCTGGTTACCACCTTTAAAGCGCTCCATGGCTTAGGACCCGGGTACTTGCGGGACCGCCTACTACCACCAATAGCCTCCCACCGGCCGGTACGCTCCCATAGAGAGGGGCTCCTCCGGGTGCCGTCAGCCAAACAATGCCGACTGGCGGCCCCCAGGGGGAGAGCCTTCTCTGTGGGGGGCACCTACTATCTGGAACAAGCTTCCCCCAGAGATACGGAGGATCCCGGATCTGCGCACCTTCCGCCGCGCCTTAAAGACCTTACTATTTCACCAGGCCGGCCTGGCCTAATTTTCCCCCTCTTTTATAAAAGATTTTAAAAATTTTAAATATCTTTTAGTATTTTATATATTCAATTTTAAATTGGCTTTAAAAGTTTGGGGTTTTAAATTTGTCGGGGCCAAAATTATTTAATTTGATTTTATTCTATTTTTAAATTTTGTATTGTATGTGTTTTTATTGTTTGGCTGTGCACCGCCCTGAGTCCTTCGGGAGTAGGGTGGTATAGAAATCTAATAAATAAATAAATAAAAATAAATAAATTCATTTGGCAAAATAAAAAACCTAGAATCAAACTTAAAATGCTTCAAGAGCTTAAAGAAAGAGGAGGATTTAGTGTTCCAAAATGGGAATACTACTATCAGGCCGCAAATTTAGTCTGGATCAGGGATTGGATATTGTTGAGAAGAAGGAGGTTGTTGATCTTGGAAGGTGAGGGGCTACATCAAGGTTGGCATTATTTTCTTTGGCAAAACAAAATCCCAAAGCACAGGTGCCTTGCAGGACATTATGTGAGGAATATTCTAATTGAGTCCTTGAGGAAAATTAAGGGTAAATTTTACTCTTCAATCCCCTCTTGGCTGGTCCCACTCGAAGCTATAACGTATAGGCCTCTATATAACAAGGAAAATCACCTCTCTTACCGGGAACTTTTGGACCCCCATGGTAGTCTGAAATCAAGAAATGAGTTGGAGTTGCAGGGAAGACAACTGGATTGGTGGGTTTATGCCCAAATTTGCTCGAAATTTTAAAAAGATAGGGAACAAGATGGTATTAATTTGAATCAGCGTGATCTGGACAATATTCTAGGAAAAGAGGACAAAATGTTATCAAGGTTATATAAACTTTTAATAGACTATTGGATAGGGGATGAAATAGTTAAAGACTCTATGATTGCCTGGGGGAGAAATATTGGCTATCCAATTGATATGACAAAATGGGAAGAAATCTGGCTTAAACATATGAAATTCCTGTGGGCAACATCGTACAAAGAAAATGTGTACAAGATGTTGTATAGATGGCACCTTCCACCTGCTCATCTTTCTAAAATGTATTCAAATCTCTCACCAAACTGTTGGAAGTGTGGGGAGATTGGCACCTATTTCCACATGTGGTGGACCTGTTCCAGGACGACTGAATTCTGGAAAATCATACAGGCATGGATCATGGAAATCACAGGTTATAACCTAATTCTGAAACCAGAGTACTATCTATTGAACATTAGGCCAGACAACATAGGCACAAATATATGGTGTCTGTGTGTATTTATCACCACGTCAGCAAGAATATGTTTCGCCCAACATTGGAAGGGGAAAGACCTGCCGGCTGAAGATTTGATTTTGGAGAAAACCTTGGATTATGCGGAAGCCGACAGACTGACTAAAGCATTGAGAGATCAAAAGGACTCCGTATATTTCCAATGTTGGGACAAATGGTACGTTTGGTTGAACAACAGACGTCCAAAAAGTCAAGTATAACCAGGATTATGTTTAATATACGTTAAATCTGACTGAAGCCTACATACCGTAGAAAGTGTAAATATCATGTAAAGTTCCTGTCGCGATCATTTGTTTGACTATTTCTTTTTTTTGATGTATTGTTTTAAATAAATAAATAAATTGAAAAGCATCCCCCCCCCACATATGTAAATGAAAAGAATAAGCTTAAAAATCCTAGCCTTTTAAAATTGAAAATATGGAGAATTGGGAGGATGAATATGAGACACTAAGGGAGATGTTTCAAAAAGTAAGGGAGGCATTTAAGGGAAATAAAGAAGCAGAGAATTGGTTAGCTTGCAAAAAAAAAAATATGAATGAGAAGCAAGAGAAACAAGGAGATAATATTGAAAAGGAAATAATTGGGGAAAAAAGATAAAGATGATTACACTGGGTTCAATAGTGATAGAATAAAAATGGATATGGGAAAATATTTATTTATTTATTTAATTTGGCTTATATGCCGCCCTATCTCCCAATGGACTCAGGCCGGCTGACAATAATAAAATTCACAAAGCCATAATACAAAGTTAAAATCTGATTAGACCCACTAAAATTTAAAACCCTTAAAACCCCATCAGTCCAGGTTGTGGAACTTGAATAACCAAGTTTTTAATTCGCGGCGGAAGGTGCGAGGTCAGGAGCCAACCGGAGCTCCAAGGGGAGTCGATTCCAGAGGGTGGGCGCACCCACAGAGAAGGCTCTACCCCTGGGGGGCCGCCGGCCAACACTGTCTAGCCAACGGCACCCTGACCAGGCCCTCTCTATCGGCGTGGACCGCGCGATGAGATGTCATTGCTGGCTGCAGGTAGTCTGCCAAATATCCTGGGCCTAAGCCATGTAGGGCTTTATAGGTCATCGCCAGCACCTTGAATCTCACCCGGAGGGCAACCGGTAACCAATGCAAGTCGCGCAGGAGGGGTGTAACATGGGAGTATCGGGATTCTCCCATCACAACCCGCCCGGCTGCATTTTGCACCAGCTGAAGCCTCCGAGTGGCCCTCAAGGGCAGCCCCATGTAGAGAGTGTTACAGTAGTCAATATGTGAGGTGACTAGTGCATGAGTAACTGTGCGTAGGGCATCTCGGTCCAAATAGGGACGCAACTGGCGCACCAGACGAATCTGGGCGTATGGCCCCCTGGTCATGGTCATTATATGATCTTCTAGACTCAACCGTGAGTCCAGGAGGACACCCAAAATACATCTCAAATATGAAGTGAAATAAATGGGGTAAGATTGAGAATGAAAAGTAATAGAGTTAAAATTAAAGGAAAAAAGCTGAAGGGGAGATATAAGAACAGGAAAAAGAAGAAGCTAAAGAAATGGAAAAAAGGGAGGAAAACATCAAGAAAGAGAACTGTGGAGAGACTAAGAAAATGGTTAAGAGTCAGTCCAAAAGTTAATTTGTTAATAAAGAGAAGGATGCTAGTTGTAGAAATTATGTGTGAAAATGCTGTTAATGAAAAATAGAACAATGTTATTCAACCTACAACTTTCACCACCATACACCATTAAAGGTATTTCAATTGTTACAGTTTATACTTATTTATATTTCTAAAAAAAAGAAAAAAGAAAACTTATCGTCTAGATTTCAAAAATACAAAGACAAATATTCCAATTATTATTCATTTCACTTTTACAATCATGATTTCCCATTTATTTCTTACTACTATTCATATTTCAATACTAAATATGTATAAAATCTTTCTCTTTCATTTCTTTTTCTCCCTTCCCATTTTTATTTTTGCCTTTTTCTTTCCTTTTTTCTTTTGTGTTTTAAAATTTTGAACTCTCCTCTCCTGCCCTAAATTTCCCATTGTTTGCACCTACCATTTTTAGTGAGGAAAAAGAAGAAAAAGAATTCTCCCTTTGCATCTGCCAAATTTTTTTTGCAGCAAACAGCAAAGAGCCTGCTTTACTTTCAGTTTCGTTTTCAGCATAGCTTGATTAGCAAAAGGGGAAAAAATCTGCTCCAACACTCTTTGCAGCAAGCAGCAGAGACCTGCGTAAAACAGCTGAGAGAGTCAGGAGGCCAATCTAATCAACTTGTGCTAATTAGCCTGTGCTGAAGCTGAAAGGAGCTGTTTTTTCTTGCTTTTTGCTTGCAAGGAGGTAACTGCTGTGAGGCACAGGCCAAAGGGTGGGGGCCACCCTCCTTGCCACTTAGCGCCGCCCTGCCGCCCCCTTTTGCCTCTAGTGCCCCCTGCTGCCCCCTTGCTTCTTACTGCCCCCCTAAGTCATCCCACCGGCCCCCCACTTTGGTACGGCCCCTTTGGGAACCATCACTCATCACTTTGGAAAATCCATGCACATTTTCTTCTGTGCAATAAGGGTGGAATGTTTCCTGAAGTACCGTCCACTCTTGGGGCACTTAAATGGTTTCTCCCATGTGTATAAGCACATGATTTAAAAGGCTAGTCTTAGTACTGAAATCTTTCCCACAATCTGGACATTCAAATGGTTTCTCTCCTCTGTGAGTCCTCTGGTGTGTCACCAGGTGGGAATTGCGACTGAAACTTTTCCCACAATCAGGACATTCAAATGGTTTCTCTCCTGTGTGAGTCCTCTGGTGTCTCACCAGCTCGGAATTCCAAAGGAAGCTTTTCCCACAATCAGGACATTCAAATAGTTTCTCTCCTGTGTGAGTCCTCTGGTGTATCACCAGATTGGAATTCTGACTGAAACTTTTCCCACAATCAGGACATTCAAATGGTTTCTCTCCTGGGTGAGTCCTCTGGTGTCTCACCAGCTCAGAATTCCAAAGGAAGCTTTCCCCACAATCAGGACATTCAAATAGTTTCTCTCCTGTGTGAGTCCTCTGATGTTTCATCAGGTTGGAATTCTGACTGAAACCTTTTCCACAGTCAAGACATTCAAAGGGTTTCTCTCCTGTGTGAGTCCTCTGGTGTCTCACCAGGCTGGAATTCTCACTGAAACTTTTCCCACAATCAGGACATTCAAATGGTTTCTCTCCTGTGTGAGTCCTCTGGTGTGTCACCAGGCTGGAATTCTGACTGAAACTTTTCCCACAATCTGGACATTCAAATGGTTTCTCTCCTGTGTGAATCTTCTGGTGACTCACCAGGTTGGAATTGCGACTGAACCTTTTCCCACAAACAGGACATTCAAATGGCTTCTCTCCTGTGTGAGTCTTCTGGTGTGTCACCAGGTGGGAATTGCGACTGAACCTTTTCCCACAATCAGGACATTCAAATGGTTTCTCTCCTGTGTGAGTCCTCTGGTGTGTCACTAGGTCAGAATTGCGATTGAAACTTTTCTCACAATCAGGACATTCAAATGGTTTCTCTCCTGTGTGAGTCCTCTGGTGTCTCACCAGGCCGGACTTCTGACTGAAACTTTTCCCACAATCAGGACATTCAAATGGTTTCTCTCCTGTGTGAGTCTTCTGGTGTGCCACCAGACTGGAATTGTTTCTGAATCTTTTCCCACAATCTGGACATTCAAATGGTTTCTCTCCTGTGTGAGTTCTCTGGTGTGTCACCAGGCTGGAATTCTGACTGAAACTTTTCCCACAATCTGGACATTCAAATGGTTTCTCTCCTGTGTGAGTTCTCTGGTGTGTCACCAGGCTGGAATTCTGACTGAAACTTTTCCCACAATCTGGACATTCAAATGGTTTCTCTCCTGTGTGAGTTCTCTGGTGTGTCACCAGGCTGGAATTGCGACTGAAACTTTTCCCACAATGAGGACATTCAAATGGTTTCTCTCCTGTGTGAGTCCTCTGGTGTCTCACCAGGCCGGACTTCTGACTGAAACTTTTCCCACAATCAGGACATTGAAAGGGTTTCTCTCCTGTGTGAGTCCTTTGTTGTCTCATGAGATGGTAATTTCCAATGATACTTTCACACAATTTGGACACTCTTATGTGATGGGTGTCCTGTGATATATTACCATGTTGCCATGCTCACTAAAGTATTCACATCGGGAGCACTCGTATGGCTTCTCTCCTGTGTGAGTCGTTCCATGAACCACAAGGAAGCTGTTCTGACCAAACTTTTTGCCATATTCAGATAATTTGTATGGCTTTTCTGCAGTTGGGATCTTCTTGTTTAATCAGCTATGATTTGCAATCTGTGCTTTTTCTACAATAGGCAGATCTATGGAGCTTTTCCACAACTGATATTCTTGAGGTCAAAAATATGTGTGCTCTCTTGCTTAGTGGTGCTTTGATTAAAGCTGTTTGCTTCTTCCCAGAGCAAGGCCTCTATCATTGTCTGTCCTATGTGCCCTGCCCAATAAGACCTTTTCCTTCCCCCTAACTTCCTAATATTTCCATCTTTTTCTGAGTGAAAAATAATCTTCCTTGATTTTTCATAAAATGTATCCTTGAGTTTCGTATCCTCTACTTTTTCCAGCTCAAAATCTCATGTTAATTTTCTCTCTTTTGTCTATTAGCTGCTGGAAAAGCAGAATTGTGTGGTTTTCTGAAGGAAATGGAATGTATTTTGATTTCTGGCTCAATTTTATTTCCTTTTCAATGTTGCTTGTTATTCTCAGTTGTCCAGAGTGCTCTTATTGCCATCCTCTTTGTCTGTAAGTTTTAAAGAAAAGTGTAACTTTAATTGTGTATAAAATGGTTGCAGAAGATGTGAAAAAAAGTATACATTACAACAAAAAAGCAAACATGCCACAATGCTAGAATAGTCTCTTACATTAATTATGATTCATTTGACACATGGAAGAGTACCAAGATATCTATTCAACCATGAAATTATGTTGTTGACTTGGGTCAATCATAAATTTTTGGCACTGCAAAGGGTTATCCTCAAATATATCTGGATGTACTGAGGATAGATTGTATTTATTTATTTATTGGTTCGATTTATATGCCTCCCTTCTCCGGAGACTCAGAGCAGCTTACAATGCATTAAGCAATAGCCTTCATACTTTTGTATATACCTGCTTAGTAGGGCTTTCTGGCCCCCCCAAGCGGTGTTCTTTTTTATACAAAGTCAGCTTATTGCCCCCACAATCCGGGTCCTCATTTTACCTACCTCAAAAGGATGGAAGGCTGAGTCAACCTTGAGCCTGGTGAGATTTGAACTTGCAGTAATTGCAGGCAGCTGGTGTTACTTAATAGTGCTTTAGTCTGCTGCGCCACCAAGGCTCATTAATTAATATAATTGCAGATATATGCATTTAGAAAAAATACAGGTACAAACACCTACAAATGATATATGTGGAAGCTCCATGAGTTTTCAGCCTGACAAAATGTCCCAAATTAGTTAATGTCAAACCTTCTGAGCTAAATTTAGAGATGTGGGGAACTGAGGAAATGATGCCAAAAGCCTCTGCAAGATTTGAAGCACCAGTTTTGCTCATGAAAGTCCTCAGCTGCAAATAAGAGAAGAAAATGCTGTCTACAACCACTTAGACCCAAAAAAATTGTCGTGTATGTACCCTAATGTTCAGCCAAAATGTTGGAGATGTGACTGTTTAGATGCTACATATTATCATGTTTGGTGGACTTGTAGGAAAGTTAAGGCTTTTTGGATAAAAATTTGGTGGGTCATGCAGAATGTGTTAAAGAAAAAAATTCAATTTTCTCCACAACTGTTTTTATTGGGTATAGTTAAGGGTTTTACATTGGGTGAAACAAAGTTGATATTGTATATGATAACAGCAGCAAGATTATTGATAGGTAAATACTTGAAAAATGAAGCTTTGCCCACTATCGAGGAATGGACTATGAAGATGGCCAGTTTTGCAGAGATGGCGAAGATCTCAGCATATCTAAAAGACTGTTCACAAGAGACTTATGAATGGGAATGGAAAAAGTGGATAGATTATGTTCAGAACAAATACCAAACTAGGAAGTATCAAATAGCTTTCATTTGAAAATGATATATTAAGATAGAAATATGTTAATGTAATGAAGATAAAAAAGAAAATTATAAGGGGGAGGGAGGGGTTCAAGTTTTATATAAGTTTTATACAAAGGTTTTTTTTTTTTTAACTTGATATGAGTATACTGTGTGGAAGTCCGGGGGGAGGGGAGGGTTAGGGAGGGTTAGGGAGGTTGGGAAGGTTGGGGTGGGTTGAGGGGGGGGGGGAAAGGGGTGAAAATGTAATTGTAAAACTTTTGCAAAAAAAAAAAATTAATATAATTGCAGATATATGCATATAGAAAGAAATACAGATACAAACACCTACAAATGAATATATGTGGAAGCTCCATGAGTTTTCAGCCTGACAAAATGTCCCAAAATAGTTAATGTCAAACCTTCTGAGCTAAATTTAGAGATGTGGGGCTTTAACTGAGGAAATGATGCCGAAAGCCTCTGCAAGATTTGAAGCCCCAGTTTTGCTCATGAAAGTCCTCAGCTGCAAATAAGAGAAGAAAATGCTGTCTACAACCCCTTCTGGTGACCTCCCAATTCAAGCAATCCTGACTTACTGAGTGCAGTTGGGACTGGCTTCTGTGTCACTAAGCAGCCGGTCATAAAGCATGATGTCACATGACAGTGCCAACTTGCATCTGTTCCACAAACTGCCACTTGCAATTTCCTGCTGGCATCCCTACTAATTTTGCTTCAGAATCTAGCTGAGAAGGTCACAAACGGGGATCCTGAGTGTGGGATGCTGCAGCCATCATAAATGTGCAACGGTTGGCAGAACCCAAGTTGGTGTCTCTCCTTTTCCTGCACCTTCAAAACCACAGGAACGTTTTTTCGGAAAAACGGGCCAAAAAAAGCCTCAAAAGCGGGCCAGAAAAAAAGTCTCAAAAATGGGACACAAAAGCCTCAAAAATTGACCAAAAAAGCGTCAAAACAGCCCCCCAAAAGCCTCAAAAGCGGGCAAAAAAGCCTCGACAATGGCCCCCAAAAACCTCAAAAATGGCCCAAAAAGCCTCAAAAATAGCCCCAAAGAAGCCTCATAAACGGGGGACAAAAGCCTCAAAAATGGACCAAAAAAAGCCTCAAAAACGAGCTGAAAAAAGCACCCAAAATAGCTGAAAATAGCCCCAGAAACAGGCCGAAAAAAGATTGGAAAAGGCCCGAAAAAAGGTAGGCCAAAAACTTTTTTTGGTTGTTTTCCTCTTCTAATTTCAGTTGTGTCTTTTAGTCAGGTGCGTCTTGTAGTCCAAAAAGTACGGTCAGTAGAGTTGAACCTGGTTAATAGTTTAGTTTAGTTCAGTTTATTTGATTTGTATACCGCCCTACTCCCGAAGGACTCAGGGCGGTGAACAGCCAAACAATAAAATACATAGATACAAAAAATTTAAAAACCAAATAAAATCGAATTAAATCATTTTGGCCCAGACAGATTAAAACACCCCAATAATTTAAAAACAAATTAAAATTTACATATTAAAAAGAGGGAAAAGATTAGGCCAAGCCCGCCTGGTGGAATAAAAAGGTCTTCACAGCGCGGCGGAAGGTGCACAGATCGGGGATCCTCCGTATCTCCGGGGGGAGCTCATTCCAGACGGTACGTGCCCCCACAGAGAAGGCTCTCCCCCTAGGGGCCGCCAGTCGACACTGTTTGGCTGACGGCACCCGGAGGAGTCCCTCTCTATGAGAGCGTACTGGCCGGTGGGAGGCTATTGGTGGTAGTAGGCGGTCCCGTAGATAACCAGGTCCTAAGCCATGGAGCGCTTTAAAGGTGGTAACCAAAACCTTGAAGCGCACCCGGAAGACCACCGGGAGCCAGTAAAGCTAGCGCAGGAGAGGTGTTACATGGGAGCGCCATGTCGCTCCCATTACCACCCGCGCGGCCGCAATCTGCGCCAGTTGGAGCCTCCGGGTGCTCCTCAAGGGGAGCCCCATGTAGAGAGCATTGCAATAGTCCAGGCGGGAGGTGACGAGGGCATGAGTGACCATGCGTAAGTAGTCCCGATACAGAAAGGTACGCAACTGGCGAATCAGGCGAACCTGATGAAAAATCCTCCCAGTCACGGCTGTCAAATGCTCTTCTAAAGACAGCTGTGAGTCCAGGAGGACGCCCAAGTTGCGAGCCCTCTCCGTGGGGGCCAATGATTCGCCCCCAATAGTCAGTGATGGCACCAATTGACTATATCGGGACATCGGAAACCACAGCCACTCGGTCTTGGATGGGTTGAGCGTGAGCCTGTTTCTCCCCATCCAGACCCGTACGGCCTCCAGGCACCGGGACATCACTTCAAGGGCATCGTTGGGGTGATCCGACGTAATACCCGGATGCGGCACCAATAGGAAATATCGTGCTTTTGGCAAGACCTGGAAGTTAAAAAACATAAACCCTAGAAAAAAACTAGTGGCAGAATCAGTGCAATTTGGTTGCCAAGAGAATAGCAAGCCTGTAACAGAATAGGTTATGAGTTGGAAAGGACCTTGGAAGTCTTCTAGTCCAATCTCCTTCTCAGGCAGGATACCCTATAACATTCCAGAAAAATGGCTGGCCAATTTTGTCTTAAAGCACGGGTGTCAAACTTGCCATGTCGTGTTGCCGTCATGTGACATTTTGTGACATTCTACCCGTTTGTGGATAGAATGGGTGGGTGTGGCCTGCATGTGACGCATCCAGCCCATGGGCCTCCAGTTTGACACCCCTGTCTTAAAAGGTTCCTAATGAATCTAGATGACAACTTGTCATCCAAAAGGTAGAAAAGGGAACTAAGGATCTTCTATAGCAGTGATGGCTAACCTTTTTGCCATCGCGTGCCAGGAGAGGGGAGGATGGGGGTGGGTCGCACGCGCACAGAACCTTTCTAGGAGTATCTAGGAGCCTTTCTAGGAGTCTCTGGAGGCTGGGGACAGGAAAAAACATCACTTCCTGTCCCACCGGGAGTCGGAAAATGGGCCCTTTCAGCCTCCGTAGGGGCTCCAAGGGAGTGGAAAAGGCTGTTTTCGCCCTTCCCAGATACACAGAGAGGATCTGGAGCCAGGTAAGAAAGAAAAATGGGCCTTCCCCACCCTGTCCCCAGGCCCTCCAGAGGCAGGAAACAGCCTGTTTCCCTACTTCTGGTGGCCCCAGAAGGCCTGAAAATCAGCTGGCCGGTGCGCGAATGTGCCCCAGAGCTGAGCTGGCGTGCCCACTAATATGGCTCCACGTGCCACCTGTGGCACGCGTGCCATAGGTTCGTCATCATGGTCCTATAGTGATCTAAATTTTTACTAGCAGAGAGGAAATTATAGGGGGGGTTGCAGGTAAATTGGAGGAAGAGTGACCATGTCATACTGGAATTCAATATATTGCAGACACAAGCATTAGAGCAAAATCAAACTAAGGACTTAGACTTTAAAGCAGCTGATTTCAACAAACCAAGAGACAGCTTGGGAAGGATTCCATGGATGAAAATCTTATACAAGAGCCTTGGTGGCGCAGCAGACTAAAGTGTTGTTAACTAGCACCGGCTGCCTGCAATTACTGCAAGTTCAAATCTCACCAGGCTCAAGGTTGACTCAGCCTTTCATCCTTTCTAGGTTGATAAAATGAGGGCCTGGATTGTGGGGGCAATAAGCTAACTTTGTATAAAAAAGAACACCGCTTGGGGGGGGCCGAAAGCCCTACTAAGCAGATATATACAAAAGCATGAAGGCTATTGCTTAACGCATTGTAAGTCGCCCTGAGTCTCTGGAGAAGGGCGGCATATTAATCGAACCAATCAATCAATCAATCAATCAAAGGGAAAACAACTCAAAAAGCCTGAGAAACTCTGGCTGCCTAAACAGAGGGATAGAATCGAGATCACATGAAGTATTAGTACCAATTTATAATGCTTTGATTAAGATCACACTTGGATTACTGCAACCACTTTTCATCACCACAATATAAAACAGGCGCCCAGACTCTGTAAAGAGCGCAGAGAAGAGCAGAAGGGATAATTAGTGGGTTGCAGTAATTGGGAATGAATCGTCTAGTGAAAGGAAGGACTAGGGGTGACATGATAGCAGTGTTCCAATACTTGAAGGGTCAACTTCTTTTCCAAAGCACCAGAAGGACAAGACAAGAAGAAATGCATGGAAACTAATCAAGGAGAGGAAAAAACCTGGAATTAAGGAAAAATCCCATCAGTGAGAACAATTAGCCAGTGGAAGGGAATGGCTGCAATTTTCTGCTGCCTGGAAGACTGAAAAAGCCTCTTTTGAGTGAAGGTTGATTCTTCGGGAATGGCTTCCCTCCAGAGGTTGTGGGGGCTCCATTGCTGGTGGCTTTTAAACCGACGGGACAGCCATTTGTCTGAGACGTCATTAAGACCTCCAAGGTTTCTTCCAGCTCTCTTCCAAACCTCCAGTGACGGAGCTCCCTCTGGAGGGAAACCAGCCCCAAAGGCTCAACCTGCATTGGAAGGAGGCTTTTTCAAGCTTCCCACCAGCAGAAATTGCAGCCCCCAGTTTCCCAGCCTGCAGCACCAGTGGGCTTCCATTTGGGGAGGGAAGGAACCTGCAGCAGCCGCAGCTGAGAGGCTTCAGCCCAGTTGCTTCTCCGCTTCCAGCCCAAGTTGCTCCCGGACTCTCCTCCCACCTGCTGCCCTCCACTCACCTGCCAGCTGCTGCTTCCGCCATGGAAACAGCACAAAAGCCGCTCTGCACACCAACTTCCTCCCATCAGCCATCCGGAAGAGGAAGTTCCTCTGCGCGTCTCCTCTCCTCCCAGCCTTTCTAGCAATGCAGTACTTGATGATTTTAACTCCTTAAACACAACCACAGGCGCCGCCTGCTGTACCGTCCGCTTTCTAGCCACCGGTGTTGCCTGTTTGAGCGCCATCTCCAGGCAGGCAGAAAAACGCGCTTGTCCCCCCTCTTATCTAAGGCGGTTGCAAGAGGTTTTCACTGATTAAATGCTACCGTCATTTTTGACTTCTGGCAACTGACCCAAACAAAAGAGTGAAATGTGATAGCACTAAGCTTACGAAGATTAGTTATGAGCCCTGAAAGTTCATGACATTTTATTTTTTTATTTGTCAAGCATATATAAGAAAACCTATAAAAGCATAAACATATTTGGAATACATGAAAAGAATAAGAGTAAAAATGAACATTAGGACAGGAGCGATGGTGCGCTTATGCCCTACAGACCTCTTAGGAATGGGGTGAGGTCAACAGTAGACAGTCTAAGGTTAAAGTTTTGGGGGTTTGGGGAAGAAACCACAGAGTCAGGTAGTGCATTCCAGGCATTGACCACTCTGTTGCTGAAGTCATATTTTCGGCAATTGAATTTGGAGCAGTTTACCTTGAGTTTGTATCTCTTATTTGCTCAGGTATTGTGGTTGAAGCTGAAGTAGTCATTGACAGAATCTTTTTCTTTTTTTGGACAGAATTTGCTATCTTAGGGGGTGACTCTCGATAGAGATCAACGCCTCTCTACATCCCAAAAGTTTAAAACTGATTTTCTGTGGCTCCCAAGATTTTAGGACCTGGCAGCCCCATCAAGTCAAGAT